GGGTATGCCAAATAATTTAAGGGTCCTTATGCGTTGATTACCTGAATTTCTTTGGACTACTCTTATGCGGCAAGACAGAGAATAGATAAAGCTGAATTTTTCCACGATGCTATAAGTAGACCTAAGGATTACATTCAATTTTAATTAGCAGTGTTTTCTTCAAGATATTCCCATCCAGGATAGACCTCAATTTCGGCCTCGTCTAGGTCTCATCAGCGCTCCCAACTATCAGTTCTCCCTCGACTTGTGCCAACTGGGGTGGCTACTTACTCATGGTAGAATTTTCCCACAATGATGTGAGTTGAGCTGACGTTTCCATTGAAAGTTGTTCTCATCCAAGCACCAGTGGACTGCAGTTTCGACCTCGTATCGGTCTTATCAACACCCTCAGCGGGATTCGAACCGCGACAGTGCAGGATGGGAGCTTGACACTTTAACCACTCGGCCACATGGCAACGAGTAACCTTGAGTCACAGGGCATAAGTGAATTTCAAGGAAGGTCAGGTCTCTTTGCTATATCATATTCTACCAGTAAATCAGTATAATAAGATGTGGGAAAATTCTAGTACCAGTCCTTCATCACCTTAGACAAAATAGGGTGAATACATCTCATTACACTGATTTACTGGTAGTCTCCAAAACCCTACTCCATACGAATACTCCATGATAGTTTTGAAACTTAATTTATATGAATAAATACCGCATTTTACCTCCAGCTAGCTATTAGATTCAGGCTCTCTTTTTCATTTGTTGAATTCGTTTCCACTTTGTTTAAAAGTGTAGGTAATTTGAAATCGACTGCACGACTTTTCACCGTGCAACATGACAACAATAAAGTAAAATCCTTACTTAGGTGATAATATTACTACTATTTAATTAATTTGGTAGTATGATTCTTGTTTATATGAAGGTCGAACTTATCAGAAAACGACAACTGATTTCATTTAGCCAACCAAAGTTGGCTCTGCCCTCGATAAAATCCCCTTTGGTATAGTTTGATTCACTAGCTTGAAGTAAGTGTAAAAATGATACTCTTTTCTGAAGATGTCTATCAAACGGTATGGCGGACGAAAGCCTAGCATTGATAGCATCGAGACTGCTCCAACCAGAACGATCCAGCACACACAGTCACTCTAAAGTGAAGTGGGCTCAACACTTGTTAAGCATCAATCTCATCAAAAATTTCCCTCATTAGCATGCGAATTGATACAAGCAATGAAATTAAATCCCTTTTCCTGAGAGGCCTTGGTGTTGCCCGGTAATTCAGATTTAGGGCTGCTGATATATCCTTAAGTTTGTTTAAAGAGGCGGGTAGAGAGGGTTGGTAAAATGACCTCACGAAAGCCAAAATAAGCTTGGCTTGGTACTGGGTCTGTGAATTTGTGTAAATAGGCGCAAGACACACCGTTTCACCAACAGACAACACCAAGACAATTCTTCTTCGGCCTACGGCGAGACCACTTCGCGAATACCCTCCACTTTCCTCTCCAGCAGAAATAAAGGGTACAATAGGATATATTTATTTATGGATTCCACGAAGCTTGGCTTTTTTTGCTGCTTTATGAGAAAGTCGTCACCCTAGGCCGCTTCGGGTGTGGCGATTTTATTGAGAACGCTGTCATTTCAAATGAAAATGTGTGCTGAAGAGACTCTAAGGTCGATTCCACAAGAAGACGGAGGCGGATTCTTCGTAGTCAGTTGTCTATTGGCTTTACTGGAACATTCTTGTTGATGCTGTCCACGAGGCGATCTCCTTCGATTCTAGTGAAAACGTGCTAAGCTTTCGTTTTTCATATGACAGAAATACTCAGGGTAGGGCATCATTCATGCAAGCATACTCAGGCTAACAAGTCAAGAAAACTCCTGGCGAATCCCTAATTTATATATATTTATATATTTATATGCATATATACATATATGTATGCTTTTTATATTTATCTATTTATTTATCTATTTAAAAGTTGTTAATTAATTTGATTATTTCAAGTCATATGTCACTCTCGATGCTTGTGCATGTGTCTATTTGGGAGTGCTCATGTGCCTTCACGCGTACGCATATGTTCGAAACGGAGGGCAGGCGTTACGTTTTGCTATAATTACTGCTGGTTTCGTGCATATATGTACACATGAAGGCACATACACATGCTTCTAGATTTACCTACGAGTTGAGCAAACTAAATCGTTTGAGAACTCATCAATAAGGATAGATATAGGGTATAAGCACAACATGTATAGAGAAGCGGGAAGTTTTCTTTACTCGGTAGATTGAGCATGGTTGCACGAATGATGCTCTGCTCTGATGATTTCTGTCATGTGAAAGACGAAAGTTTGGCACGTTTTCACCGGAATCGAAGCAGATGGCATCGGGGATAGCCTTCATACGGGATCAGCCTTCGAATCTCTTCACTGCACACCTCGGCTTGAGATGTAAGTGAGCTTAACACGTATAAACCAAAGGATTCCTCGAAATCCAACTTTGCTTCGCGTATGAGGTTTTTTCCACAATAACCGGATTAAGTATCTCGATTTCATTCACCTTAATCGAGCCAGAATGCATAAATTCTTATTCAGGCATTACTGAAAGTTTGGAGATGCTCTCAAACTGAATTTTGCTACAGTGACCGTCAGGCCTTCGAGGAGGGACTCCTCGATCCGGCCCTTCCGGTGGCGACGGAGCCTCAACTCTTCAACCTTCCCGACCAATTTCTCACTCGTCTGGCCATCTTTCAGCTCTTCTCCAGCCGGCTCGACACTCTCGGCCTGGCCGACCCCGCTTCTGTGCTCACACCTTGTCCCATCGCGTCTGCTCTGCCGCCTGTGACGCCGGCCTTCTTCCCGTCTGATACGTCGGAGTTGGCAGGCCGAAGGGATATAGACACCTCACAGGAACAGGAACAGGAACAGGAACAGGCACAAACGCAAACCGCCCGACCAGTTCCGGTTGCAGCCAAGCCTCGTCTACAAACGGCTGCCTTGCAAGCCGTAGTGGGGCCGGCGCCGAGTCCTACAGACTCAACAAGGACGCCTGGACAAAGCTGTCCGAATCCACTCTGCGACGGCAGCGGCCATGTCAGCGGCATCTACTTGCACCACCGCAGTCTTTCCGGCTGCCCGAGGAGAGGGAGCTATCCGAATGCCGGTATGCGCACAGACCGGCTGTTGTAGAGCTTGTCCTGCCAACTGGCAACACAGTTCTAGGCAAACATCATCTCAACAAAAGTTAGCTAAAAGTTGTTTGACCTTGTTTTCGCAACTCGGTCATGTTGGTAGGACGACTTAGAGGAACGCAACTGGTCAGGAGTCCATTGTCTGCATGATCATTTCCA